CCCCCCCCCACCGGTGATAATAATTGACCGACCCCTAAGTAGCAAGCAACGAGTTTTCACCTCATTTCGTGGAGTGCTAGGTCTGCCGGGTGTCCGCTTTATTGCTGATGAAAAACACCTCGGAAAAAGGCATTCATCCTCCAGACTAAAATCTGACAAGTCTTCATAGAACCCCCTCGTCTGGGGGTAAGGACTGTTCTGTTTAGTTGAAATGGTTGCAGTGGGTGTGGAATTTTCTTCAAGTAAGGGCTTCACGTAAGGACTGTCCTGCTACAAACGCAAATAATTGTTGTTTGTTTTATTTTTGGAAATCACTGGTAGCGATTTAAGGCCGCTTAAGTTATGTCGTTGAATTAATCCAGCGAGAATTTCAAATGAACATGCAGAAATATTTTTAAAAAAGCCATTGTTAGCTTCGGCCAATGAGACTGTAGAAAGAAAACAACGCTCTCGCTGGATTCTGCCACGACGGCACGACTACTATGGAATATTTTTCGATAAATTTGAAGGAAAACTATCGGGCTCTCATAATCCTGAATAAGGAGGCAAGGAGACGCGCTTTAGACTCTAGACTAGCGATTTTTGAGAGTGGGTCAGTACGTTGGTATGATGAAGCCTTCTTTTCCCCCTACGTAGTACAGGAAGTCGTGGGAAGAATGCTCAGCTAAAAAAAGCGACAAATTGGCCTGAAATCGCCATCAGTGAACAAAAATAACATAAACAACACCACATGAAGGTCAAGGTTTACTTCCTTCATTATTTACGGAGTACAGAGCGGAGCCTAACCTCCCTTAAAAGCCTTATAATATTAGCCTGTCATAGAGAGTTTGGACTTCCCGTGGTATCATGCTGAATTAATTTATATGCTAATGACACGTGAGTAACAGCCGAGAGAATGTGGTTTGCACTGATAAGTCAGCATTCTCAGAAAGTGTGTCGCTCACCTATTAACTTTCTCCCGTGCTAATTGTTATTTGGGGCCATGTCGTTTGTAGCTCTTATCGCATGGAGCGCCTCGAAAGCAACTAAAGCGAAGAGAACGCACCACACAACAAATTGGAAATGAGAAACAGAGATGTTTTGTTTTGCAGCATTTCTACTCTGTAACGGAAATACCAATCGGCTTTCCAAAAATGCGAAAAACGAGATATACTTACGTTGTTTGCCGCGCCACAGCACGTGATGATAATTCCCATGTTATCGTTTAACTGTTGTAACGGATGGTTGGATCAACTTCCGCACAATAAAGAGGTGCTCGGGCTCCACCAGCTGTTTCAACAAAACAGAAATCACAAGCCAACGATTTCTTTCCTCTCCGACGTCTTTTAATGAAATTCGGCCACAAATAGACCTGAGATCTTATAACCGAGTCACAGATCCATCAAAAGCGAGTTCGAACACAGTACGTCATTGTTCTGTCGACTTTCGGAATGTGCTTAGAAATCAGTGTGAGCAGATCTGGCGCTTCCTTGGTTAGTTCATCGTCTCAATACCTCTGGCTCAACATCAAGGTGGAAGTCGTCGATGAATTCATAGAGGAGATCTCTGAATTTTTGTAGGTTTCTATCGATAAGCTGTGTAAAATGGTTTGGATCCTACCGTCTAGAGGCAAGCCTGAGCAGCACCAGTGACGAGTTTCCGAGTCGGGTAATTATCGGAAATTGTCGGGAGTTACTACATCACGGGCGACGAGTCGGGGATGAAGAAAAGACCGAAATACGAGTGGCCAGCGGGAAACAAATTTTAGTACTTCATATAGAGACATATCAGTTATAGTTGCGGAAAACAATAGAGTTGTAAAGCCGAAATATCAACAGTATACTTCGCTAAATAAAATGTTAAGCAATTTTTCAAAAGTGTTGATGGCACATATATCTTTTACTGCTGTAATAAACAATAGAGGTATCGGAAAAGGCATCGGTGGCATCTGGAAAGGCACCAAGAAGAATTATATTTACGTTTTGTAACTTGCTGCGTGACGAAAAAAGAAAACCAAAACCGTGGTCCCCAAATGAATTCTCCCACCTTGCACCAAAAAATTTTCAAATTATCCGCAACTTCACCTTTTCCTATTGGTAGGTCCGGCCAAGCCTTTATGGTCATTGGCTCCCGTATAGCCA